TGAGCCACTGTATGCTAATAAATTGAAAAACTTAAAAGAAATGGATAAAGACACATAGAGTCTACCAATATTGAACCACGAAGAAATCCAAAACCTCAAAAGACAATTAACAAGCAATGAGATTGGAGCTATAATAAAAGGACTCTCAGTGAAGAAAAGCCCAGGACCTGAGGGCTTCACTGCTGAATTCTATCAAACATTTAAAGAAGAATACCAATTCTATTTAAACTCTTCTGTAAAGAAAAAAGGAGGAGGGAATACTTCCAAACTTACTCTACAATGCCACTATTACCCTGATACCAAAACCAGACAAACACACATTAAAAAAGTAAAATAAAATAGAAAACTACAGACCAATATCCTTGATGAATACTGATGCAAAAATCCTTAATAAAATACTAGCAAACTGAATTCAAGAAGTGAAAAATCTCTACAATGAAAACTATAAAACATTAATGAAAGAAATTGAAGAGGTCGCCAAAAATGAAAAGATACTCCTTGTTCATGGATTAGAAGAATCAATATTGTTGAAATATCCATACTACCCAAAGCATTCTATAGGGTCAATGTAATCCCTTTCAAAATGCCAATTACATTCTTCACAGAAATAGAAAAAAAATCCTAAAACTTATATGGAACCACAAAAAAACCAGAATAGGCAGAACTCTCATGAGCAAAAACAACAAAACTGGAAGAATCGCATTATCCAACTTCAAGTTATAGTACAGAGCTATAGTAACCAAAACAGCATGACATTGGCATAAAAACAGACCCACAGACCAATGGAACGGAATAGAGAACCCAGAAATAAATCCATATATTTACAGTGAACTCATTTGTGACAAAAGTACCAAGAACATACATTGGGGAAAAAGAATCTGTTCAATACATGATGCTGAAAAAATTGTATATGCAGAAGAACAAAACTAGACCCCTATCTCATGCCAAATATAAAAATCAAATAAAAAAGAATTAAAAACTTACTCTAAGACCTCAAACTATGAGAATGCTACAAAAAAAACCTTGGGGAAACCCTCCAGGACTTTGGAAATCAGTATTTTGAAGAGATATCTGCACTCTCATGTTTATTGCAGCACTGTTCACAACAGCCAGGTTTGGAAGCAACGTGTCTATCAACAGATGAATGGATAAAGAAAATGGGCTACATATACACAATATATAAAAAGAATGGGGTATATATACACAATATATGAAATGAGGTATATATGCACGATATATAAAAAGAATGAGATCCTGTCATTTTCAACAACATGATGGAACTAGAGGTCTTTCTGTTCCTAGATTTCACTTAACATAATGAGTTCTAATGAGATCTTTTTGATTCTTGTCTCTAATGAGAAAATAAGTTCTCACTTATTTGAGAATCTAAAAATCAAAACAACTGAACTTGTGGAGTCAGAGCAGAAGGATGGTTACCAGAGGCTGGGAAGGGCAGCAGGATGTGGGTAGTGAGGATGTGCATGGGTAAGGGGTACGAAAATACAGTCAGAAAGAATAAGGTATTGCTATTGATACCTTATCAATAAGGTGCTATTGATAGCACCACAGGGTGACACAATACTTTACTGTACATTTTTAAATAACCCAAAGAGTATAATTAGATTGCTTGTAACACAGAGGATAAATGCTTGAGGTGATGGATACCCCATCTACCTTGATGTGATTACTATGCACTGCATGCTTATATCAAAAAATCTCATGTACCCCATAAATATGTATGCTATGTGCCCACAAAAATTAAATATAAAAATTTATAATAACAAAAATAGAAGAGAAAAAAATGCAACGAGGAATAGGAATAGACAGGATTTGAGGAGGAGACCTAAAATAAACCAAATCAAGTATTGTGTGTATTCCAAAAGAAGAGAAGAACCTTAGGAAAACACCCCAGGGACAATGAATAAACCACTGGGAGTGTCGGGAAAGCTGCGATTGGATAGCAGGAAGGGATTACTCTAAAAATCCAGACTGCCAACTTCTCAAACTCTTTATTTAAATGAAAATGTTTGCTTATTCTTTGCTCTGAATTAATAAACTGAATCAGCTGTTATCAGAGTTGTATTTCAAATGTTAAACTTTAGAGCAAATATTTTTAAAAAGAAACACCTTTCCCACAGAAATCCTGATGTCCAGGTTGAAGGACTTTCCAGGCTGGCCCCTGCATCCCCTGACTACAAATGCAAAGGCAGAGTAATGATACTACACTGTCATCAGTCCCATTCACTCATTCATTCCTTCATTCAGTAAGCATCTGACGAATGCCTACCAGCAGTCCATCACTCTCCTAAAGACGAAGTAATAGTGGTGGACAAAGAGAAACAAGTTCTCTACTCCCGTGAGGCTTCTATTTTAGTGTGGGGAAGGGGAGTAGCATAAAAATAAACAGATGAGTAAGATTAAGATTACGTCAGAGAGTGCAGGGTGCAATGAAACAAAGAAAGCGGATGCTGTCATGAGGTGGAAGCCCTCTCCGAGGAAGTGACACCTGAGTTGAGAGCTGAATGATGAGGCAGAAGGTAAGTGGCAGGAAGTCCCTGGCAGATGGAACAGCAAGAACAAAGACATTATGGTTGGAAAGAGCTTGATGTGTTCGCAGAACAAAAGAAACGGCAGCGAGGCTGGGGCCAAGTGCCAGGGTCCTAAGCAAAAAGTAATTGTGAATGTCAAACACACATCTCTCCCTTCCTTCTGTTGGCTGCCAGAGCTTTAGCAGCTCCTCCGCTCTGGACACAAAACGCATGGTGTTGAGAGCCTCAGCAGCTCCCATGGCCTAGGGCTCTCTCTCATGGATCCGGGAGGAAGCCTTGGGATCAAGAGCCTGATGTGAGGAAAGGGAAAGGCGTAGGGGAGGGAAGGATAACCAGGGCAGTCGCAGATCTAGTACCCACAAAGACGCTCTTTAGAAAGTAGGGGATTTCGATCCAGCTGGCAGACTTTCTGTTAAGTTTAGTTAATTTATTTAGATGTGGGAAAGATTCTTGCCTTTTGTTTCCTTAGTTTGTCTGTGAGCTTCCAAATGAGCACTTTGGACAAAATCAGTTAGAACAGCGGAAAATCCAAGGGTGACCTATGTGTAAATCAAGACCAGGAGAGCTAGGACAGTTGCTAGTGCATAACTAATCTTTTAAGATTTACGTTAGAAAACAAGCAAGCAAAAACCCCACCATACCATCCGAGTAAACATCCCTTAGCATCATTCTGAAAAATAAAACAGATCCACTGACGGATAGAAAACGAATCTCGCTGATTATGGCAGTTTTTAACAAGATTTTTCTATTTATTGGCCTCATTTTTAAACTCTTGATCCTCATAATCACCATGTGCATTGCATTGGCAAATTAACTTGTGACTGATGATAATTAAGAAAAGGAAATTTAAGAAATGCATGTTTTCCTGAGCCAAGTTTCAACTAAATGTTTTTGCTACTAAAATTATGCTTTCATATACAAATGTTGAATATAAGTAAGTTTCTCTGGGGATGTTAATGTTTACATTTTTCTCCCATTTGTTATTTATTAGCATGAATTAATATGCCAGTTTGTATTTGACACTAGATTTTTTTTATTCTTGCAATAATAAGACATTGCTCTATGCGGTAATACTGCTTTATTGAAAAGGATGATTATCTCACAGTCAATGAATTCGGCCACAAATTACAGGTATTTTGATATTTCAGATATAGTTATTTTAACGTAAATCATCAATGCATAGATCAATAAATTTTATACTTATTATACCATATATATTCTACTGTACTAGTATTTCTAAGGAAAATGAACACCCAGGGCAAATAAATGTATTTATTTTATTTCTGAGTTTAGAATACACAAATTGTTATTTTCAGTGGCAAGAGCATATCTATCTTGTGTTATGATGTTATTTTTAAAAATACTTCTATCTGCAGCAATGCGGAAGAAACACTGGTTATTTGGAAAAGAATTAGTTCTGAAAAAAATTGAGCAAAGACTAAAAGCTAAGAACTTTTAGTTATTTGTACTAAATGTTATCTAGTATCATCTGAGAGATAAATAATTATAAGATATTGTCCCCACTCTCAGAAGAGAAGGTATAGATCTTTGAAAGCTTGAATTATATTCTAAATAAGTTTATATGTTCATGCATGTGAAAATGCTTTGTGAATTAAAAACTACCATAAAATGTAAGGGCATACCATTATTATTTTTGGAGTTAGTTTATTATGGCAATTCTTTTAGCTGAAGCCCTGTCAATTATTATTTTTTCAGTGACCAGGTCCAGACCATCAAAATAAGAATGAGCAGAACAATGAGCCCTCCCAGAGGAAGAGGCAGCCAACAGAAAATGTTATTCCATCCAAGAAATCAATTTGTTTATTTATAATTTGAACCAAGTATTTCCATGCCAATTCCTGATTGGTCTCTCTAAGGTCTTTTTTAAAAAAACTCATCATAACAGATGGAGGAAAAAATATGTACAACTAAAACCTGATAGCATAATTAGTGGCCTGGAAGCTTGGGATAAAAACCACGTAACCAAATCCTTAACGGGAAGGTCAATATTAAGACATATTCATTATACTTTGAATAGCTATCAAAATACACATGTTCATGCAAATCAGTACCAAGTGCTTTTTCCCTATGTCAGTATTTGTTTTTTTATCGAATTCACTTGTATCATTATTTTTAAAATGTGATCTTCAGTCCAAAGAGTTCTATCACTCTTCCTTTTATCTAGCCCTCTTATCATAATTTCCAATGTTTAATATGCTTTACAATGGGACAAATCATATCCAGGAAATAAACTGCTTACCAAGAGGCACTTTGTTTAAAAAAAAAGTTAACTGCCTGGAGTAATTAACTTAACTCTCAAAGAGTTCATTTCAACCCTTCTACATGTGGCTTGATAATTAATTAATCTTATATTTATGAAAAGTAGGAGAAAGAGAATCATAAATGTTCATAATTTAGAGGAAAGGAAGTGAGATACAGCGAGATGAGTACCTTGCAGATGAGGGATCAGTGCTTCATCTACATGACTACTTGCTTCCCACAGTCTGCAGGGAAGAGAAACAGAATTCATAAAGCAGATTTGTAAATCCTGATAACCTGAGTCAGGATATGATTATGTAACTTCAAATTCTCTGCATTTAACAAGCTAGAAACCCAGAGCTTGATATTTATTGAATTTCATATATGCCTTTTCCTGGATTCTTGTTTACAATACATTTTATGGCAGGATATTTAGATTTGTGAATTCTAGCCAGACTGCTCCCTAATGAGACGACAACTCGACAACTCGTTTGGGCTTTAAAGCTTTATGACATTTATAGATGTTTACTTCGCATCTCTAAAAAACACAGAAATGCTCCTATACTATAAAAATTCTGATCTGTAAACTTTCAAAGCATAATGCAAAAAATCCCTAGCTGACAAATCTTTATTTGTGACAGAGTAATACTTTTTTCAATTCTTTGACAAGTGGCACTATTATTTATAAACTTGAGTTACATAAGACAGTATATATAACTACAGCAACAGTATTTTGATAAAAGGTGCCAGATAAATGCTTTGCCTAAAAAGGCTAATCCAAAAAACTTTTTCCACTTCTTTTGTATGAAACCTCCTGAGTAGCCAAGAGGCATGAGGCACACTGCCCACAGAGAGTGGCACACACTGAGAACACACAACATCTGACTTAAAATTTCAGCTTTTGCCAAAGAAGACTTGTCTTCAGCAGCCATGTCACGGTGCCCTCGGAAGAAAGAGACTCCTCTGACTTTTTTGTTATTAAGTGTGTGAAAATCATACTTTAACAAAACTAGTGTGGTGGTGATTACCTCCTCCCTGAAACATTTTGCTAGACTGGCCCACTCCACTTGAGCTGCTAGGGCTTAAGCCAGATCACAAGTTGAGAGGAGGGAGGGCAGTGCAAATAAGAAATAACCCAAAACGAGGCATCCCTAGCACAGTTACCATTTCCAGCTTCAGCCATTCTTTTATCTAGAGTGGGTCCTAAAACTCCGGAGGTTTTTTTTTCTGGGTCTGCCAAATTTCAAGTTCCTACACTAATTTGTCGATTTGGGTCTATTAGTATAATTATTATTTTTATCCCCACATTTGAAACTCATTCTATGAGAGTAAACAGAAGAAGGCAAGCAGATTTCATTTCAAAAGCCATTTTTATCTATTACTAATGGCTGCCTTAGGGGTCTGATTTGAGCATAATTCTGATGTTGAGCATGGTGAGAAAGTACAACCTAATGATTTCATGATTTCTACAACCTAATGATTTCTAGCTATAGGTGTGTCCAAGCCCAGGGCTTGCAGCAGGTGTAGGTAATCAAAAACATGTTTGTTGAAACTTTGGTTTTATGAAAAATGGCTGAGGTCTCTTTGGAAAAGAAGCTTTAAAAACAAAGGTAATAGAAAATCAATGGCTGTATGCCCTTAGATATAAATGCAGCCATTCACTCACTTACCTTGCATCTGAAATAACTCAATAGCCCTTCCTTGCCTCTTTCCAAGCTAAACTGATATAAAAATGACCTTTCTACTTTGGATCATGGTTGCTTTTTCTAGCCCTGGTTCCTTATTCTCATTAGGCTCTCTTAGGAAGCATGCCACACAAGCATATAAAAGCCACCTAGAGCAGACGAATAGATAGATAAATTAGAGAGGTGAATGGATGGTAGGTAGGTAGGTAAGTAGAGACTGACAGACAGAACTAGGGCATCTTCATTAATCAATTTGCTGGTTATTATCTGCATTCTGCCCCCTTGCATAAGTATCTCAGACTCTTTGCTGTGGCTCACAGACCTGGGTTCTCTTGAAACCTTGACTTCATTGTAGCCCACAGGTTAAGGTAAAAGAGACTCCCAGTGACACTCTCAGAAGAGGAAAGGTCCCCTGGCTTTACTGCATGGAAAGGCAGATTGAGACAATACCTCATCCTTTATTAAAATCTTTTTCTTAGAACATAAAGGGCAAGTTCCTTAGAGGTTTTAAAAAAATAACTCTTTCTCCATCTGGGTCCCTGCTGTTTTGCTTAGCCTCATACAACCAATTCCCATTCTCTAGAATGAGCCTTTTAAAGCTCCCTCACTACCCCATGATGTTAGGTTTTACATCTTTTCACGTGGTGTATTTGCTTTTTTGTCTGCTTGACAAACTCTGACTTGGTTCATAAATCATCCTACACCACACCCTGGAAAAAGTTAATCATTCCCTTCTCGGGGTTAGCTGTGCACCGTTCCCATGAACATTTCTATAGTTACACGAATCATGTGCTTTGTTAGGTTAAATTAGTATCTGTGAACTGGTTGAGAGCAGGAACTTTGTCTTAATTTTCTGTTTCCTTAGCACTCAGCACAGTGTAGGACACATTGAATATAACTGAAGATATCTTTGAAGTTTTCCACTTGGGAGAAAAAAGGAATAGTGACAATATTATCCAGGAAAGGAGAATGAAAAACAGGAGCAGCCTCATGAGATGCCGTTTGCTTCATTTGGAGATAGTCACATTTCAAAGTCCCAGTTAGATGTACCACAGAAGAAATCAGAGTTGGGAAATCTGGGCTTCGATCTCGGAAAGGGGAGTTGGAGTTGAAAATGGTCATCTGGGAGTCAGCAGCAGAAGCCATAGATGGATAAAGAGAACCTAATGAAAAATTTTAAAAAGTGGCAAGAACCCTGTAGATCACTAAAAATTTGGCCTCAAATTTAGGAGCCAATGAAGAACCTGTGGATAGATGGAGACTAGGAAGAACAACAAGGAAGAACCTCGAGGACCTCAGAGACCGAGGACATGAAAATAAAAAATAAGAAGGGGTGTCAATCATAGTAGTAGCGTCCCATAATGGTTAAGTGGGATGAAAAACAGAGGAGATGAATTCTGCAGTACAAAGAAGGGGGCGTGCAGGGCAAATCAAGGCATCATTGAGAGCAATTTCAGTGGAGGCAAAAGCCCAGGATTGAAGAGACTGCAGTCAGTGGAGTGAATGAGTGCCTTTCATCCAAATTCATTACAGGAACCATGGCTCGAGCAGGAAGACTTCAGTGGCCCTTTGGGCAGGAGTGGAGGGGAAGAGGGATGGAAAGGTGCAGTGAGAAGGAATTAGCAAATGGGCTAAGCAGGGAGGATTCTACTGTTCGCACAGCACCATTTTATATACTGCATATTTTAGGCAAGATGTCCCTAGGCAAACGGTTCCATAATCCCTTTTGTTGATAAATGCCTATTCCCTCATTCCTTATGTTTCTATAAAGGAGAGGGAACATCATCTCTACCAGAAGATACAGGCTCTGGCTTCTCATTCATTTCTTCTCGGGATGAAATAATTTGTCTGACTTTTTAGCTTGGGAGAAGGAATTGAACTTGCAGTTCATCATCTTCCTCCGTTAAATTCCTAACAGGCACAGAACGTCCTATTCTGTTATGCTTTGAGCAGACTGCCAGGGGAGGATGACGGCTGTCTACCAATGCCCGTAACTGAGGCCTCGGTTTACATCAAAGGGAGCTCTATTAAGTCCATGTGGTCCCAGACGTAAGTCATATTCCTCAATGCAGTCACGTTGGTAATAAAGCTCATGGGACACACTCCATTTGTCTCACTTTCACGTTTGCTTCTCAACTAAAAGTGAACTCAAGGGGGGAATTGGTGCTTAATTATCACTGCCTTAAAACCTTACAATTATATGTCAAGGAGATCGTTTAAAAATAGAGAAATATAAGGCCTCCAATTCCTCATCTGTGAGATAAAGGGGCTGAAGTAGATAACCTCTGAGTCCCTCCCAGCAATCTCTACACATTTTGTTGCTATTGTGTGCATAGCAGACAAGGTGGCCCCGGGGTAGGAGGGGAGGTGGCAAGGAGTCAGGCAATCTCTGGCAAAAGGAAGGAGGATTCAAAGCAGGAGCGGGCAGCCACCGGTGCAGTAAGCAGAAAGGTCTCCGGGCTGAAGACACATTAAGAGATTAGAGGACAACTTACTTATTAAGAGCATTTTCTGAGACAAAAATGAAAGTTGCTATATAAAAACAAAATATATAGATATACACACAAATACATTATGATACACAGAGATAAACAAAAGCAAAATACTGAATCAGGCTGGAAAAAAGTTCTCCCCAATTCACCAGCCCTTCTCTGCTTACATAAGTCCCTTCCCTCATTAGATTATAAGATTTTGTACCTTTTGCACCTTAATTTTCCAAGAGAAAAAATGAACAGGCCATAAAGTGCCTAAAAGCAAATGTTAGAAATTGTTTGGCTCAAATATCAAAACATAGACTTTTTTTTGAGACGGAGTTTCACTCTTGTTACCCAGGCTGGAGTGCAATGGTGCGATCTCGGCTCACTGCAACCTATGCCTCCTGGGTTCAGGCAATTCTCCTGCCTCAGCCTCCTGAGTAGCTGGGATTACAGGCACACGCCACCATGCCCAGCTAATTTTTTATATTTTTAGTAGAGACGGGGTTTCACCATGTTGACCAGGATGGTCTCGATCTCTTGACCTTGTGATCCACCCGCCTCGGCCTCCCAAAGTGCTGGGATTACAGGCTTGAGCCACCGCGTCCAGCCCAAAACATAGACTCTTAACTAAGCTGAGGACAGTGGAATATTATTTTGCTCTCTTGCCTGTTGGAAGTATTAAGACATTTCCAATTCCAATATTCCATAGACCAAGAGGCTTAAGAGAAGAGGGTTTCCAGGCTCACAGCTCTGAAAACAATGATGACCCAGGGGAGTCATTACACTCATGTCTTCGAGACCAATGGATTTCAGCTGATTCATCAGTGAGTGTCTCTCAGACCAAAGTGGAGAAAGCAATTTTTTTCTTCTGTTAAACAGAAATCTTACTCAGTCTTGCACTGAATTCTTTCACAGAAAATGTCTGTTCATCTGCCTTTTGAGACACACAAGGTCTCCGGCAGGTACTCTGCAGAGGTGGAAGGAAGGTGTGCTCTGTGCAGTGCGTCAGTTGCTATGTGGTCCACTGTGGCAACTGTAATTCGCAAGGGCACAGCTGAGCTACCACAGCATTCAGCTGTAATCCTCCTGGAATCAACCCTGCTGTTAGGGGTAATTATCTGATTATCCCAGAGGCCAGTTCTTGCAGCTTTCACATAAAAATCACCTCCTGCATAAGACATGACATTTAAAATCATCTCCTCATACATATCATTGAGTCACTCCATGACCTCTGGGACATATATAAATTATGCATTCTTTGATTCTCCTTAAATTTTTAGAGGCACATGGGGACAGTGAAGGATCTCATTGGTACTAAAAATATAAGGCATTCCAGAAAGAAACAATAACTTGTGTGATAGTAACTGCTACTAGTGTTCCAAAGGGTCCCTGGTTGGTCGAGGAAATCACATAAAGCATGGAAAACTAATGGCAGGCTTGCATGCTAATGCCTGCTGGTGACAAGGACTCACTGAATGTCACTGCCTCGCATCCTCATGCTCTTCATTTTTCAGTGACTTCTCCTTCACGGGACTGATGCTGATACTTCTCTGAATTGGCACCTGAATGTCTACAACCAAGAAGGTGCTCAAAAATGTCCATCATTGAACCCACGTGTCCTTATTCCTGCTTCTTCCTCCAATCCCATGCCTTGATATTAAGAGAGTTATCTGTTTGTACCATGGAGATAGTGTCTTATGATCCTCTGCAGCTTGTTCGATTTTATCTCTAGATGTGTCCAAGGCTCACTATCATACATGCATTCATATTAAAGAGAGAGGGTGACATTAGCATGAAGAAAATGCAATGGCTTTCACTGGAAGAATGAAGAACTGTGTATCAGATGAGTTCACAGACGTAAGCTGGCGGCACAGCAATGCAACTATGTTACCCAGACATCCGCGGAGGGCTACGGATGTTTCATTCTATATTCCCCATTCAGTATAAATACGGCTAGCATTCCTTAAAGACTCAAACTCATAGTATATTGTTCACTTCTGATGCCTGATAAGTTTAGGACAAACATAAAAACAAACTGGAAAAAAAAAAAACCCATCTTACCAAAGAAGTGAGTTCAGTTGCTTGATCTTTGCAGCTGCTGGTGAAAGTTTGATGATTTCCTAGACTTGTGAAGAAAGTGAGATAAACTTCAGTATCCAGCATTAAAGGCTTCCCGAGGCAAAATACATTGTGCAATATTAATTTTTCAAGTTAAAAATTGGAGGTATTTGAAAACCACTGCTTCCCTAAACAGGAAGGAAAACCACTATTTGGATGGTAAAATGTGCCAATTCTGTACAAAATGCCTTTAAGCCCTTGACCTAATGAGGTTAGTGACAGGAATATGGATGACTAGAACAGAGAAGGAAACTCAGAAAGAATTTTGTTCATGAACTGCCATATTTCTCCTGTCATTTAACCAATTTTCCCTCTCAAAATTACAACATGGACTGCAAATCTTCAAGGCTAATGCTGCATATGACAGACTAAGTGCTATTTAAAATGTAATAATATATCTGTCAATCTGATAGGAAAAAACAAGAGGCCACTCGAAGGACTTTTCAGGTAGACACGGGTCCTGAAGGGTTATAAAGATGGCAGTCAGGAAAGCAAGCCACCACACAGCTTTTCCCATCTGATTAGTAAAAGTGCAGTATTGTCAGCGAGTTCTACCAATGAAAGAACCCTCTTTCAGCCTGAGCACTCAGTGGTGTATACCCACTCTATTAACTGACCTTCATTGTACATTCATTTCTACTAAAATTAATGTTTTGGGTTAAAATCAATGCTTAGAGACATGAATGGAAATGATTTAATATGTGTGTCACGCATACTGTTTCAAAAGTTTTTAATCTTTCTAATTCGCTACAAACCAAAATTATGAGAGGTGGAAGAACACTCAGAATTCCAAAACTCCCACTGCTGACTACAACACACCACTTGGTTTTCCACCTTAATCCCAGTTAGGGCGTCTGTGCTATTTTAATCTGCCCAGTCAGGGCATCTGTGCCATGCCTGAATGATCAGAAAAGAGAAACCACTGGTCTCCTGCAAACATACTTTATCATAGTAGGGGACTTTCCCTCTAGAGCCGCTGTGTAGATATTTACAAGGATTCACAGCAGAGACACTGGGTGTGTATGACTGAAGTTATTTAAGATTTTCCCACAATGACTGGCATCCACATGGAGAGATACCAAATTGCATGCCTCTTCTTAACCAATTCAGAGGCGGGGAAGGAAAAGCAGCATGCCTGGGGAGACAGCATGACAAGTGAGAGAGCCACATTCTGCTTAGGAGCTTACTGCTTTAAAAGTTCACCTAAGACTGAATCTAAAATTTGTTTTAAGCACCTGTAATAAAAGAACATTTTAGAGTTTGGGAGAAAAGGTACAAGTGTCCAGCATGGAGTGAATCACTTGGCCCTTTAATATTTAACTTCACTGGAAAAGAATCCCCATGGAGACCTCTTAAAAGAATGCAGGGGACTGCACAGAACTTTCTCAATTGATGGTATAATGAGAACCATTAGGGTTTGACTCCATTTGACATCTTAAATCTCTGAGTCCTCCTTGCAAAAGGAAGCATAACAGAACCTTCCCAAGTGAGGGTTGAGTGGAAAGTCTGCCAAAGTGAGACAGTTTTCAGAAAGCAAATTTCAGTGAAGTCTCAGGAAGCTACACCACTACTGCTTTCTCTGTCTCCATGCCCTGCTCCTGACAGATGGGAAATATATCAACTGCACTTAAGTGACACAGAGGATTTCAGTAGATAGTGTTCAGGTCACACCTTCCTGAACAATTGGTTTTATTAAACTGTTCCTAAGAAGAACCTCGGCCTTCCTGTTGACCTTAAAATCTCAAAAGATTACAACACAAGATGCTTTTACATTGTGGTTATTAAGAGCTGCCATTTATTCCAAAGGGTCAAAACAATAGGACGAGGATAGTTACCAAAAGAATAAGACATAGAGTCCTTGGTAATTTAGCAGATTTCTAGCTGTAGCATTCCTTGCCCAGTAAAATGCTTGGCCAGCCCTTTGGTATTTGACTCTAGGTTCTTCTTCTGGAAAGTCAAGCAACACAGGTGGCATGACTGTCATTATGGTGACAAGGGATGAAGATGTTTCTTTGACTGGATTTTGGAGGTAAATGCCTGGGCAGAGGGGAATATAAGAAACCACATCCTAGAACTGTGTTGTAATACATACATTTCTAAAAACTAAAAACAACTAAAATAATGTACACTCCATTAAAATGTACTGGCTTTTGTGGTCTAATGAGAAACTTAATAGAAGACAATGAAACAAAAAATATTCTGTTCAATTAGGAAGAAACATTAAGAATGACAATCAAGGACTCTTTAAAAAAGCAACCAGAATTAACTGTCTAAGAAACGCATATCTAACCCCATCACTCCCCTACTCAGATTGGTACCAAATGCTTAACACAGACTGTTGCGACAGGACAGCAGAAGCTATTAAAGGTTTCGAACTGGGAGGGGAGGGAAGCGTGCAATCCGTCTTCCTACTTCTAAGGCTCAATCCACTGGCGGCTATGTTCTGCTTTCTCTGGGAAGGCTTTCCATAGCTGACAAGGAGGTTAGGTTCCCTTAGAGCATCATCTTGTAGGACTGGATTTCTTGACACTTATCAGACTTATAATTACTTTTTCAGTGTCTCTCTCCTCAGATCTGTGATAACCAATATGGTAGACAAAAGCCACACGTGGCTCTTAAGCATTTGAAATGACCCTAGTTCACATTAAAATGTGCTCTAGCGTAAAACACACGCCAGCTGACGAACTTGGTACACACTGCTACAAAAAAAAAAATGTGGCCCTGCAGAAGCCTTGATTTTAGCCCATGAGATACAGTTTAGTCTTCTTAGATTTAGGAACATAAGAGAATCAATTTACATTGTTTTGAGACATTAGTCTATGGTAATTGTAAGAAAAGCAATAGAAAACTAATACATGTGGCTTCCAGAAAGTTTAAATTACATATATAGATCATGTAATATTTCTATGGAACAGCACTAGGTTAGATTATAAACTCCATGAGGGCAGGGACTCGTCTGTTTTGTCAGCTGCTCCATGTTCTGCACCCAGCCTGCTTCCTGACACACATAGTTAGTCCAAAACAGTGTGGATAAATGAAGTAACTTAAAGAAGGTTTTACCCCTTTATACACAGTTCATTTGTGCTATGGCTGGCCTAGAGTTAGAGCCTGAACAACACCATGTTATGCAAGACGAAGCTGTTTTTCAGAAATAAGTTGTAACGGCTGACAATAACGGCTGGCCTTGGCTTCTGTAAATAAAACTGCCCGAATTGCTGGCCTTTGCTTACCGGTAATGACCAGAATAAGCAGCCCAAGCTAATTCCATCCTGGCCCCTGTGACTTGTAATAAGTAACTAAGATCTGTGGATTCCACCACTGCCCAGACGATGTGTAAACTAACGCTTATCTTGACTTCCGTGAACCACATAGGTAACAATCGAAGTGATAGCAAGTCCCCTAGCCCTTGGAATGTCCGGAGACCCGCACCCTCCTCTCTGCCTGGGAGGTGATTTATGGAATCCCCTGGCCCTCAGAATGTCTGAATCCCTTCACCCCCACCCCCGCCCCACACCCTCACCCCAGAGGTGATTTACGGGCATAAAAGGGTCTTGTCACCCTCCTTTCGGGGCCACTGGTTGGAGAGACGTGAGTCCTCCGTGGTCGCCGGCAATAAAAACCCTGCAACTTGGCATACTTTTGTCTTGATGTTAATTTTATACTCGATCCAAATACTTCACACTCGTTATTCCAATAAAAATTATTAAGCATTTACTCTGAACCACACATTATGTAAGGCATTCAAGATACAAGTCTAATAAGTGTTTGCCAGAGAAGGGGGAAGAAGAGAATAAGGAGTAACTGCTTCATGGGTTTGGATGGTCCTTTTAGAATGATAAAAACATTTTCTTCCTTTTTTTTTTTTTGAGATGGAATCTCTCTCTGTTGCCCAGGCTGGAGTGCAATGGTGCGATATCGGCTCATTGCAACCTCTGCCTCCTGGGTTCAAGTGATTCTCCCGCCTCAGCCTCCTGAGTAGCTGAGATTACAGGCGTGCACCACCACACCCAGCTAATTTTTGCATTTTTAGCAGAGCTGGAGTTTCAGCCAGGGTGGTCTCAAACTCCTGACCTCAGGCGATCCACCCGCCTTGGCTTCCCAAAGTGCTAGGATTACAGGCATGAGCCATAGCGCCCAGCTTCAGTATTTTTCAAATTAGATAGCGGGCCATGTGTCTAAAGAGGGCTCAGTCTCCATTTCCAAGATGCTACCCTATGGCTGTATCCCCCTAAGGGGAGGAACACTGTGCCCTCAAGTGGCAGAAAAGACAAATTCCCTCCATTGAGCCATTTTACAATAGCACTAACCGGTTCATGAGACTGAAGCCCTCACAACCGCAAATCCTCACAAACAGCCCCACCTCCCAACACTACTGCTCTGGGGACTCAGTTTCCAACACATTAATTCTGGGGAGGCCTCCAGACCATAACATTAACCACGCAAACTGCAGGAGGAGGAGTGTTCCAGACAGAAAGCTCGTTTATAGCATCTCTAGATGGCTCTTCAAACTCTTGGCCTTCTCTATTAACTGACAACTTTCTGCTTCCTTGCTGCCATCCCAATTGACAGTTCTTAGAGAGTAAAGCCTGAATCCTTGAAGTCATAGCCACCATAATTACCCACAGTCACAGAGCCCACGGAACAAAAAGCTGTTCAAAATGGGATACTATAAAAAAAAGAAGAGTAGGATCCAGAGACTTGATCAGCTCTATGGCAATACAATAAAATGCATATGTAATTAGAGAGAAGAAAGGAAGACAAAAACTAGGTTTGCTTAGACTGCAGCTGACAACACAGGACAGCCATTTGAAATGATCTCAATTCTAATACAGGTAAGATGTAGAGCCATAAATACAATCTGGGAAGAAAACCAAGAGGGCGTCAAAATCCAAGGAGGGTGGATAGGGCCGCTTGGCTTCTCTCGTGGTTGAGAAGAGGGAATATCAATGAAATTTATTTCAACTAAGACTTGATGCAAACAACCGCACACTAAAAAAGAAGTGCTAA